AACCACTTAAAGGACCCACTTAACATCATCAATTCTCATTGCCAACTCTGGTGCCCCACCAAGTACTCTGTGCTTTCTGTACCTGGCGGTTGGTTGCGGTGGCTGATGTTTTGGAATTTCTAAACAACATTTTTGAAGTTACAAACTTTCGCAACAACTTCGCCGCATCCTTTGCTGCACACTTCGGCGGAATGTTTCGCTGGACAAGTCCGCCGCAAATTTTGTCATCAAACTTCGCCGCTAAACATGCCATATGCGCACCAATAATTACAGCCGCACGGCATTTGCCACCAGTTTGAATGTCTGTCGGGTCTGAGCCACATCCCTCGTAGTATGAAACTAGATTCAACGTTTGCATGTGTTGGCTTGTCCCAAAGTTGGACGAGCGTGTTGAGCCTGCAATACACTGCGCACAGCCGCGGTATTAATGACCGAATGATCCTATTGAGTCTGCTATACGCTGCGCACAACAAAGAAAGTCAAGACTGAACCTTCAAAATTGAAAATTCGCCGAACTTCGCTCAGCAAGAAATCGCCTATAGGATCAAACCAAACGTATATTTTCCAACTGACAAGCTAAACCTAAAGTTTAGAACATGAAGTACTACGAAACTGGCTTGGCCCAACAAAAATACGACGCGAAAACCAACAAATCACAAACCTACTAAAGGCTTGAAATCCTAAGCAATGAACGTGTGCAACCTTTACCACCCGTTGCTATTTCAAACGTCGCACCTCTTCCACCAGCAACCTGCACACCGGAGGCCAGTTTGCCAGCGTCAGTTCGAACAGGGACCTGCACGTGATACTTGTGTATGGGGTCTTGCGGCCTACCACTTACGATTATGCCGTATGGATGCAGAAGAGTTAAGCTTCACAGCTCCAAGGTTGAGGACTGTAAGGTTTTCGAGCTACAGTCGGGCTAGTTGCTAGCTCATCCTCTCTCCAAATCACGAGGCACGACTTGCCCCGAACACTTCTTGTTCTGCCCAACTTAGATTCACAACTGGCTACCGACAGCAGCAAAAAACCGCTGCATACCATGCTAATGTGCTACACTCTGCACAGTACACACAAGCAGGTATGGGTGTTGGTTGAAAACCGACTCGAGCGCCAAAACCAAAAAGGCAGATTCGAGCACCGAGACAAACCCCGGATTCGCGCGCTGCCGCTGGCGGATTTCGCGCATCGCCACCAAGGATTCGCGCACCAAGGATTCGCGCTCTGGCACGGGCACGACTCTAAACCCTAAACCCCTGCCCTAAAGACTCGCAAGCCCTAAGCCCTGAAGCTTACATCCAGAACACCCACCTAAACACTCTGAAGGCGGAAGCTCGAAACCCTACACCTTAAAACCCTAAACCCTAAACTCCCACCAGCTAATCCCCTGAAACATGAATACGCCTAGAACAAAGAAAGCCGCATCGCCCAAGGAAATCTATGCCAACCTCCACCGCCCGGGACTGAAAGGATACACCAGCCCCAAAGCGGGGAACGCGACTGCCCTAAGCCCGCAAGCCATAATCAAATGACATGATCAAGACCCTGTGCTTTGAGCGCCAAGTCATGCCCCCCATCTGCGTGGCCATTGTCCTCACACCCCCAGAGCCTAGCACAACGGCCCCAACCACCTTGGAGGGCTGGACTAGGATGGGCAGCACAAGGCCCAAATCACTTTCATGGTTTGGCGCAAGCGCCGGCCAGGCCGCCAATACTCACGGCAGGGCAGGCGCTGCGCCCACCGTGGCGGGAGCACAGCTGCAGACACGGGAAAGGTGGGCTCGACGATTAACATCCCTCCCAGCCAGGAGCGCGCAGCGGCACTTTACGTAGGAACAAGGAGCACCCAAACCCCCTTCTTCCCACCATTTTTTGAGCGCTCGAAGCGCTCTGCGACTGCACGGAGATGCAAGCAACCAAACAGCCCGCCTCCCTCCACAGGCTATGAGCGCGCTAGGCGCTTTGCGAGTGCCCGCCGGCTGCCCAGCGGCAAAGCGAGGCTCTTAACCTGTATATGCCCGCCTAGAACAACAAAAACGGGACTGGCAGGATACACCAGACCCAAAGCGGGGAACGCCACTGTCCTAAGGGCTGCAAGCCATGACCAAATGACATGACGATCAACAAAAACCAGCACTCCCAAACCTCAAGCCCTAAACCTGAGCCCTAAACCTTCAACCTTAAGCCTTTAAACTCTAAGCCCCAAAACCCACACCCTAAGCGCTCCTAAGCTCTAAGCCCTACAACCCCACGAGCGAGCGAAACCTTGAGCCAGCGGCGTGGCTCTCCCACCTCCTCGTGGTGCTGGTGGGCCCCCCCTCCTTGACCGGAAGGGGGTGCGAAGCTAAGGAGATCCCGGCTACACCAAGGTCGTGAGCGCAGGTGTTGCGGTGGCCGGCCTGCGCTGGGAGGAGCTTGGCGAAATCCGACTTAGGCGTGCTCTGCACCCTATATGGCATGCCCGTCTCCACCGAAGTCGATAACGTCGGGAGCAAATTTTGGGCAGCGAAGGTGACTTGCCGAAACTTCGCCGACCAAAATAAGTTTGAGGCGTACCTTGGTGGTAACTTGCTGATCCGCTAACCCGGACTTCCGCTAACCCGGCAGTGAGGAGCTGTAATTGCTATGCCGGGCACAATTAGTTTGAGGGCTAGCCTTGGTGCTTCTTGCTCGTTCCATCAGGAAGAGTTGCCATCGTGATGCCAAGCACAATGCGTTTCGTGAGTGCAAACACATTTTCTTCGAACTTCGGTTCGCAGATCTCGCAGGGGGAGAGCGAAATCTCACGTACTCAAGCCCTGCTATTGGGCTCTGGTGCTTTTAGCACTTGAGCCTGGGTTGCTGCTGTGAGCAAATCGAGGGCCGCAGCAGGTACAAAATTTTCGAGCGAAACCTTGAGCCCTGAACACCCCCAAGCCCGAAACCTCGAACACCCGCAAACCCGAGACCAGTCCTAGACCCCACTCCCAAACCATAAGCCCTAAACCCTCGAAACGTCTGCCAAATCCTTTTATAAGCCCCAAGCCCCAAACACTCCCAAACCCTAGCCCATTCCCACACCCTGGAGGCGGGGGTGGGGGGGTCCAGAAATAGGCCTGGACCTACTTCAGCAAAAATAGCATGTGGGTGGGGGGTCGGGGACTCTTACAATGACCACACTTGCCACTGGAGAAACATGGAAAACCCTTCTCAAAATGGATCATCACATGTTTTTTAGAGAACCTTTGGGGGTGGAGGCACCCCCATTTTACAAACAAAGGCTCTGTAAAATGGGCGTACCCAGGGTTTGAAGGCCTTTGGGGGAACCACAGTTGCGTAGGCACGGCACGGCAAACACATGCAACTACATACTAAGCATCCCTGAACCCTCTTCTTCTTCTTCTTCTACTGGCTATGCCCTAAACCCTCCAGGGGTAAGAGTTTTGCCGCTGGGCCTGGTTTTCCTACAGGCTGAGTTGTGCATTTTCCGAGAAAAACGAACAACTCGGCCGCATGCCTTAGGGGGACCGAACTGTACGTTTTTCCCAGAAAACGTATAATTCAGCCGCATGCCTCATAAACCCAAGACATCTGGTTCGTAAACCCTAAACCCTAGACATCCCTAGACCCTGTGCAGCTCCACCGATAGCTAAGGTAAACAAGGACCCGAAAAAAACCTCAGACAAGATGTTTTGGCCCCGGGTACCGGCACAACATACAACGAAGCCGCTGGCTGACGACAGAAATGGTGACTTCCAGGCCTGTTTCCTGACCCCCCCACCCTCACAAGAATAAGCCCCAAATTTGGCTGGCAGAGAGTCACCCCCCACAGGCCTATTACGAGGGTGTGGGAATCCTAGCCCTAAACCCTGGAAACCTCTCCAACCTGAACGCTAAACACTGCCAAGCCCTAAGCCCTAAACCTGGAAACCTAAACCCTGAACCCTAAGCCCACACTCTAGACACTCCAAGCCCTACGTGCTAAGCCCTGAACCCTTAATACCGTTATACGTAAAGCCTAGAAGCCTAAACCCCAAGTCCAGATACCCCTGCAACTGTTATTGGGATGTGGAAGTGCTGGAATCGCTGTGGCTTGGTGCCAGAGTTGGACCCTTTCGGGAGCCTTTTGGTGCTTGAATCGGTGCGTTTTCGTGCTCGGGTCGGCTCGTTCCTAGCCTTTGGCGCGTGAATCGGGTAGTTCCTGAATCGGCAGTGCCTGAATTGGCCGTATTGGCAGTGCTCAATCGCAGCGCTTCGATTGGGGTTGGTGCATTAATGGTGCTGCTACGTCTGGCTGCGAATTGCACATGTCACTGGGGGAGGGGCTCCGACCGGCCCCACCATTGGAACCCATTGAACGGGACATGGTTACCCAAAGATTTTCGCAATGGATTGCACACAAGATTCTCGCCCTGACCATGCGCACCCTGCAGCCAGGGGCTACTACAGGGCGAAGGCAGAAGCTGGCCTCGACATCCATTCAAGGTGGGGAAGGCTTTTTTTGCAGCATTCCAAAAACTTCAGGCTGCGACCCCCGTTGCCCAGAATGTTTAGCAGCAACTTCAAGCAGAACACTCCATGGACTAGCATGTGAGCGTGCGCGGACGCAGGTGTTCGTAGCATTCACGCGGCGCGCAGGCATGCCGAAAAAGTCTGAATAGGACGCCCGGATCCATACCCACATTTAGGCCGTAGAGCTTGTTCGGCAGCAGGCAGCAACCCTAAGAAACCTTGCGTGCCATGCTTGACAATGAGATGCCCCTGCGCTTGCAGCTGTTGGTGTGTGACTGTGGCATACCAAGTATGTTTCGCTACCTTTCATTCCGATTTATGATTTAAACCCTGATTCAGCCACAAGTCTTGTGACCGCAACATAGAATTGACTCCCCGAAAGCATGCTTTGAACCCTGTCCCCGAACCTCGTGCCCCAAGTTTGGTTTCATAAACAAGTTATGCTACCGTTTTTGGGTAGGGTCAGGGTTGTGCTTTGGGGTCCGTTCTGTTTCCCGCGGCTGAGGCACAACAAGGAGCGCGTGAAAGTCCCGAAGTACTCGTAGACGCGATGCTGGCCCTGCTTGACTGGTTGGTAGATTTCGGGACTAGAGCTGTGGAGCTTATAGGGCTTAGTAAACTTAGGAAGTATAGTGTGCAGGGCTTAGTATGTACGATTTTGGGATTGAATTAAGGCTCGGGTTGAATTTTGATTCAACGCCTCTATGCTCATTGCCATGGCCCTTGAGGCGACCAGTGCTATTTGTTCTAGTCACAGCTGCTGCTATCGCACTAATCCACATTGCATGTTTCATTGTTTGGGGGCAAGCGCGGTACTGGGGTTTGGATTGAGCTTGCGCTTAACGGTTCACGTTCAGTGAATGCATTCACCGCCCGACGGACTGACTTGACCCCACTTCTGAAAAGAAGGCCTTCAAGGACTGCAAATATTTCATTATGGGGGCAAGGTCTAAGGCACGAAGAGCGGTTTAGGGTGTAACGTGCGGAGGCATCGGTTCGGGATTCAAGGCATAAGAGCATCTGAGTTCAGCGGGCTCAGGGCGCAGGGTATAGGCGGTTGGGGAAGAGGGTTGCGGATTTGGCTCAGCAGAAGCTTCATCCAGTAGCCATTATGCTTGCAAGGACCCCCAAAACGAGATCCAGAAAACTAAAGGATGCATGAGGATGTCTCAAAACTGAAAGAGTGTACCCGTTGGATCTTCATATCTTGGGATACTGCAAGACCAGGATACAGGCATCCTTTGACTCTTGAAAATTAGAAGACCCGTCTGGGGATCCTCTTGATACAATACACACCTCACCGTTGTGAGGGTTGGCCTAGGGATGTTCAAGCCCTGTGGGGTATGTACCCACATCCACACACCAGGTTTTCTCCACCTACACATAACCATGGCATAATTACTATATAGTATATAACCGCAATTCTCACATTCTCCCCTCGGAAAAGAGCCTCACTCAACAACCTGTAATCTGATTGTCGTGCCCTGTCTATGCAGTGGGTCTTGCGAAAGCATGGGCTTGCTGCGCTATAAAAACATGCATGAGACTCCGCAAGACCAATGTATGACCCGGATGAGCCCTATAAGAGTTGCCTGACCACCCTTCACCTTTATTCGTAGCCCCGTTCAGTCCTGTTTCTTCAACCGGAATTCCTCCACTCCAAACCCTCCATCCCCCGAATCCTAAACCTGATCTCGGGCTCCTCCTGGTTTGCAGCACTAGGGTCGAAGTAGAAGCCAAACAGGATTTGCTGTACCTGTCCATCAACATTCAGGTCGCAATCTCGGTTCATGCTCTCAGCACAGAAGCCCCATCTAACGACTGCTCCGTCATTAGTAGAGACTCATGGAATGCCCCAAATGACACTAGTCCTATGAAGTCCCACTAAAAGGCAGCGGATGGATCTCGGCCCCGACCCCGGTTCCGAATATTCTCGCGCAGGACATCTGGGGCCATCTTGTTCTTCCTGCTGTCACTTCTCAGAGCCCGGGATTGAAGGCCAAAGGTTTGGGGTACATGATGTGGAGGGTGCAGGGTATGGGAAGGTCTTCGGTTCATTTTGTTTTGCTTCAGGAAAAAAACAAGAGGGGCCAGGTTTGGGGCCTTTCCAGTTTGTAAAGGAGCCTAGCTGAGCCTCCGCGGGGGCGCTGGGAAATGTTCAGGAGGTGGGGGGAATGGATATGGGGTGCCCTTCTATCAGAGCAGGTGGATTGGGGACGATGGCAAGGGTGTGTATGCACGTTTACCTTATCTGGTTTGACTAACCCAATACAGCCAGTCTGCTCAGGGCTCGCAAGCCAAATAGGGATAACCCTGTAGGATTTGAAGATGCCCTTGAAGCTGGGCACCACCAAAGCGAAGAGAAGCTGGCAAATGAAGAGCAGGGCCATCGTCCAACCCAACCTGAGCCACGAACTCTACAGAGAAGATTGCAGACTGGAAGCTGCGGAAAAGGTGCTTGTGATACGCACTCTGATTAGGACAATACGGCGGAGTATTTCTATTGTATTTGAATAGTTTAGTGTTCTACATCGTAAACTCGGCCCGTTGTTGTTGAAGACCAACCTCCCATACTTAGCTGCCACGACATGGGGATTATGCAGGGATTACATTCCCTTCTTCCCTACTAACTACCAAGAAGCTAAGTTTCTCAACTTTGGCAAGATTTGCTGCCGCCTGCCTGACCTTACCTCTGGATAGCAAGGAATGAAGAAACGGATCCTTGTAGTAGGCCCTGTCGAATCCACAAGAATAATATCATGGCTTCCGTTACCGCATCTTTTTCCATTCCTTCATCTCCTGCTAACTAGAAGTAAATAAAAACAGCTGTGCTTTTGTTGTCAGGGGAGCCGGGCCAGGTGGATTGTGGGAAAGCATCTGGGCACGGAGGATTGAGAGGGTTTAGGGCTTAGGGTCTCCCCAACTAGGTCCTGATTATCAAAGCTTCTCAAATTATCCCTAGAGAATCCTTACAGGGGAAATCATGTTGTATGTCTCCATGTATTTGCTGATGCAGTGTCATTGTTTGGTGTCTTTGTCAACCCTCCTCTTCCGAAACCGCCCGTGACCCAAAACAGCCCTGACCCTCACGCACTAATCTGATCCCGGAGATCCTGCAAGCCAAGCCATCACCCCCGGTCAGCAGGGTTTGGGCCAGGCGGGCTTCTGCCACCTGATCGCTTCTACCTTTAGCAGCTCCCAACACTTAACATTAAATCTTCCTTGGAACCGCACCCATTTCTTAGGCACATATTACATCTCAGCGAATCCCCCCTTTCCCGGCCAGCCCTGGATCCGAAGCCAAGCTGCACTGTGACGCTGCTTCGGATGGCGGTGGTCATCAGGAAGAGTGCGTCGAATTCTTGAATCCTCTCCAGAGCGCATGGGTAGGGCAGGGTGGATTGCTTATGCCGACCTTCTAAATCCGAGGCCTGGGTCGGATTTGAATGAACTGCTCAGGTTTGCTAATAGGACTGGAGGATCTTGAAGCAACCTTTCCAGAAGTTCCGACGAATCAAGGACATGATGAAGGCACCACATGATTTCAACCGATGCTACATGACGTTGCATTTATCCTAATCGTCGGGCTGTTGAGCTGCATATCTCACTGGAACCCCTATGCAGCTTGCCTTACACGCACGCATCGGCTGTGGCCCCCGGAACCCGCATCGTCTAATGCCTCCGCACCAACCGCAGTAGCCGCAGGAGGCGAAAGATACGACCAAGACGCAGGATTTGACTATTCACCTCGGTTGCTTGCTTAGGGAAGTAGGGGGTCATGGGTCATCAGCGGTGGCGCGACTGCTACGCTGAGAGCCCCTGTAGAAAATGAAATTATTTGGAGCAGAGTCTCAGTCAGCATCGGGTCTTTGCAACATGCAAGAGGTCAACATTAAGCGCCACCATGTGGCCCCAAAAAGATTACGAACATGATAGCAACAAGTGTGCATCGCAATGGCTGTACAAAGAAGACGTGGTACAGGCATGTGTCATCATCCTGGTCATAAGAACAATTGCTGCCGACATCCGTCGCTTGGCGCACAGGTTCTTAACGCATGATCACGCGAAAGATACAAACTCTAGCGGTTTTCTCGTATGCATTCTCATGCACAACGGCCAGGACATCTCTGGCCAACCTCCGGGAAGTAGTTGCGCAATAGTTACCACTGATTAAAAGCCCAGAAGACGTGCTGCCGGGTTGTGGACCCTGATTAGAAGAACGGGTCATAAAAGGAGACGATACGAACACAATGGAGAATGCTAGTACAATGAGATCATGCTCGCTGAAAACCCACCAGACGTACCAACACCAGCGTTTCAGTCAAGTCGCGGGAAGATTCGTGATAAGCCTTAGCTCAATCCGACTGTGGCCGCTAAGAAGTTCCAATTCCTTGATCTACTAGAACTTCGAAACTCCCAAAGTTACCCTTCTAAATTTCGCAAGAGGCACCATACATGCATAGTACATGAAGAAAATTGTTCGCAAAATGATGCCTAAAAGGCATTTCTCTGACCGGGGCCTTGTGTGCTCTTGGGAGGTTAGGGTTGCTTGCTCTTTTGAGTCTTGACCTTTGCATCAACATGAGCGGCGGCCCGAAATCCTTGGATTGAGCGTGTCAGATTTAGCTGAAGCCAGGAAATCCATCTCTAAATGTGATGAGCTTCGGAATTGCCACGTAGTTTGCTTAAACCCGGCATCATGAACGACAACCCATCCAGGCCAACAATTCGAAAGTCTAGGGTTGTCTAGGCAAGATGCTAGTAGGCATTCTGCAGAACTGCTTGCTGGGGGATTGTAAGGGATCCGGGAATATGTTACATGCGAATTATGTAGAGCCTGTAGTAAGCTTGGAACAGCACTCGCGGTGATGCAACCTTTGCTCTATGCTGCTTGTCAGGCAGCTTCTCCAGAACCCAAACACTGATCACAACCGAATCGAGCCAATTCCACGCCTCCTGGACAGTATGCGTGAATCTTTGAGGGTGTGGGGTCCAGGGGGTTGAGTGGAGGTTGGCTGGCCATTTTTCTGATCTCGGGAGTGAAGGGCATGTACCCCTCAGTTGAGTATGGGAATGTTCGACAGTTGTCATTCAGCATTCTCAGTCTCCCTGCCGGTTTCTGCATCAGTGATGCTCAAGTTTTGGGAAGTCCCGGCCAGAATCTCTCATTTACACCAATCATTCTAGACCAGCTTTGGATGTTTTCATAACACTTCGTCCTTTTCTTGATATAGGCCTACATAGGGCTGCTTGCCATCATCAAGCAGAAGGCCCCAACATTTCTGCTCCCTGCAGTGCCCTTCACTCTACGCTTCATTGCGCTTTAGAACAGAGTTCGAAAGCGCAGTTTCTGGACACCTGAAAAGGACGCCTCAACTAGTTTTACTACATCCACATGAACCTTCGTGAAAGTCCAGTCCTTGAAGAAAGCGCACCCTTCCGCAAACAGTCGAAGTCCAACCTCCAAAAAAAGTGTAGAGTTTAGAAATGGAACTTTATGGGTTCAGGGTAAGAGTGTCCCACACCATGGCTCCAAATCTTCTTATCCCCGCTACCTACTCAGAAACGGAGACTTCATTTTGAGAAACCAGAAGGGAGCTTCCAGAGGCTCTTGCGAGGAGGTTCTTCCCAAAGGAAACCCCAACTTGAGGGCACACTGTGTTGCAAGCCGCATAAAGTGAAGATGGTCGAGATGTGAGGGCAAATACCCATTCGGAACTGTTGGTGCTTCTGAAATTGAGGGCTTAAGGCCATCGGTCGCTTCAAGTTGGAAAGTATTGGATGGAAAGATTGGGTGTAGCAGGACAGGAGAAGTCCAGAGAGGTTCTCAAGTGCTTCTATACAGCTAATTCACTGCAGAAACAAGTTCATGGTCGGCCGGGTATCTGTGATCGTCTGCTTAGTTCTTGGACTTTCAGAGTCTTTGTTGGTGCCAAGGCTCCTTCTTACTGGGTTTAGTAGAGAATAAAGAATTAACTTTATGGGGAGAACATAGGGATTAGATTCCGCTATTCCCTAGTAACCACCAGTAAACCTTGAGGACTTCATTCAGATGTTGGTGTAGTTAGATTTGCGCACTCAGGCTCAAGTAGGTTGCATTCCTTCAGGGCATCAGGAGTTCAGTACGAGATCGTTTCGGAATGGGATTATGAGGTGCTTCACGGAAAGCTGTAGACCTGCAACTGCAGAGCTGCTGAATGATCATCATACAGAGCTGGGGTTTGGTCCAGAGATGCATTGGAAGGAGGAGGGGTATTCTTGGGACCTTCTCAGGAGTGATGGAGAAGTTCGCTTTTTGTGACTCCATACTTCGTAGAGGCATCTTAACTGGTTTTCAGGTATGCGCACATTAAGAAGAAACTCCGCAGTGCTGAGAATCCTTTACCGTCCCTCGGATGATTAGGGATCCCACAACCACGAGTAGCAAATCTGAGAGAGCCAGTTACGTCCGGGATGTTTAGGACTTGATTGATAATACATATACAGCATGTGTAGGCTTCTAGTGCATAACTTGCCTGGGATTGGAAAGTCAAAGGTCACAAAAGACTCCATGGAACTCAAAGGGATCTCTATGGGATTTCTATGTGCTACTTGGGGGTGACCTTGCATTTCACTACATTACAGCACGCATACATGTGGCAGCCCCAAACACCAGAACCTGGACTCAAATCTGCCAGAATGGGATTTCCTAGCAGCTCCGGTCAGCTTAAGGAAAGACGTAAACCTTTGTGAAATCTCGTGTCTAGGAGGTGTCAGCTGTAAACTCTGTTCTTGTGAGGCATTTGCTTCCTGCTTACCGGTAGAGATGAGAATGTAAAGGAGATGTAAGGCAGTACGTCCTGCTAACAACGTCGGGAGGATGCGGTACTGACGCAAGTAGGATGTCACTTTGGGGAGGAACTCGGGGTGAGCAAGTACGGCCGCTGCCGTTTGACGGTAAATGCTGAGGCCTCTTTAAGTTGTGGGAGGGAATTTCGTGCTGCGCATGGGCGGAAAGGGGGCACGCAAGAGGGATGTAATGAAAGAGGGGTGTAAGGGAGTCAGCGGGATGTAAGGGAGATGTAACTGGAAAGCGAAGGAGATGTAAGGGTAAGGGTGGTGTGAGGCCTTACACAGTACACCCTTTGAGGTTCATGACAAACACCCGTAGCCCAAGCTCAGCAAAACCCAGCCAAGGTTGCACTCTATTTTCCACTCCCAGGAATTTCTGACCCAAAGCTGAACCCAACATGAAAACCTGGATTCAAAAGTCTTGGCACTCACATCCGCAAGACCCGACGCGCAATGTTTTGTTCGTGACATGACCTCTACATCGCCCGTCCTTATGTGCGAGACACCAACTTTCTATCACACACCTGCAATTGGACCCTTTCAACGTGGAGCCTTGCACCTCTTGCGATTTTGAATCTGAAGCTCTAGACTCTAGACCCAGCCATTACAGCCCACAGCCCAAAAATCGGACAAACTGAAGACGGGTCACAGGAGGGATCAAATTGCACAAGGGCACTTACTCCTCCATCCCCTTGAAGCAGGAAGTGGACTCTGCCCAAAGAAAAGTTCTAGTTGCAACAATGGTCAGGCGCACAACTCAATCCCACTCCAAATGCGAGTGGTGGAGGAACCTCCAAAGTGAAAACGATGCCAAACGCAAGTTCCTTGGGCTCAGCACTTGAGCTTACGGCTTTATAGGTCGGAATTCAGATGATGGCTCGGCCAAGCGTTTCTATACATGAAAAACATGCTGACAGAAGTTTGCGCAAGGTGATCATCGTTGTTCGCCTGACTTCTCCCGAATAATTCCCGATTTGGAACCCCTTGGGGTGCGGCATTGCTTTTGCACTTGTTGGAAAATTCAGCATGCAACCTTGACAGTCGTTTGCTTACTGAGCCGAAAGCTGTACAAGGCGACATGTTGTGGTCAGTATTCCTTCACGGGTTTTTCGAATCCTTGAAGCGCATTGAGAACTTGCGCATAGAAACTGGGTAGGAAGCACTCAGGGAACGCTGCAAAAAAGGGCTCCTTGACTGCCATGGGAACCTCTTTTTATACCTCAAGCACTATGCTTGCCAGATGACCAAACCAATCCAATCACCTCCCCTACCAGGAACCCCTGATATGTGGTACACCATTCGTGGGTTTTATGATTGGGTGAGTGGTGGGGGGCTATGATTTGGAGAGCTTATTAGTTACACCAATTCATGCATCTTCCAGTCTCCGGGTCTAGGGGTACAAATGTGCTGGGTAGCTTGCAGCCAACCTCTTTGGCTCCCCAATATAAATATAGAGCGCACCACACGTCTGAAATCTTGAACCACCCGGCCTTGAAGCGAATCACCGCAAGCCATTCACGAAGCATCCTTATCCCCCT